GAATCTGCAGGCGGGGCCCAGGGGGAGGAAGGCGGGGAGCGGGGTGATGGGGCAGCTGGCTTACTGAGGAGTTGCTGTGAGGCGACTTAGCACTCCAAGACAGAGTGCTAGCTGCCGCCAAGTGCCGGCGTTAACGAGCCTGCTATTTGGAGGCTTTGGGAAGAGGAGAAAAAGAGCTAAATTAGACTCTTGAGGCCAGCCCCGCGACCGCCTAGGCTCTTCGTTGGCCTCCATAGCTCAGAGATAGCGCGCCCCCTCCTCCCCCAAACACTCACTCCCCACTTGGGCGGCGCTTCTCTAGGGCACTGAGACACCCTGCGACTTTAAGAATCCAAGGCCAGGGCCGCGGTGGGATGGGGCGGGGCGGGGCAGGGGCTGCCCCAGGGGAGGGGGCAACGCGGCGGCTCCCGGCTGGAGAAGCCCACGGGAGCGCGGCCACCGCCCAGAGCCGCCCGGACTCAGTCGGGTTCCAAGGCCAGAAGTCCCCATTGTTCCGTAAGCGACGATTTCATCTCTACGGTGTCTTAGACTCCTGGACCACAAAAAGGAGGGGAGGAGCGGGAGTGCCAAAAGCCCGCCATGTTTGCTCTGTGCCGGCCGCAGTCTGAGCTCTGAGGTTACCCCCAGCGCGCTCCACTTCCAGTTCTTCCTTCCTCCTTGCCGCTTCTCCTTCCCTGAAGTTCTAATCTGCTGCCCTTGCAGCCCCGGCCCGCTTCTTGAAGCCATTCTCCACCTTCCCCGACTCTGCGCCCCTTGCGCCCCAGCTCCTTGCTCTGGCCCAACCCCCATCAGGGACGCAGCCGGTGGCACCAGGACTCCTGAGGATCCCCCCAGACGGGCCTCCGGAGAATCCCGGGAGCGCTGCCACGCAGCCTGCAAACTACTAAGACCCCGCAGTGTCTGCGGTCTGGCCCAACCAGGGGGAGAGGAAGGAGCCGGAGCCCAACGCGGTCCTGGGAAGGAAGGTCTATCTAGAGACCGTGCCTCCGTTCTCACTTGGAGGCTCCGGGGAGCTGCTGCTCAGAGACCTGCCTGCTCTTTCTTTTCTTGAAACATATTGCCTCCCCCGCCCCGCCCGGCCCCAAGCCCCAGGGCGGAATGTAACTTCTTGTAATGTGGCAATCACTGACAAACACGTCCCCGAGAGGGGAACTCCCGCCAGGGGGGCCTTGGAAGGACTTGGGGTCTCTGCGTCCGCCCGCGCTGGTGTGTTTAGGGAGAGGGGGGCGGGGCAGCGGGTGAAGCTTGCGGGTCAGATCCCAGGGAGGGAGGGAGGATTTGTCGGGGAAAGGCTTTCCTGGAGCTGTTTTGGGTGACTTGATTCTGCCAGAGCCCGCGAGTCTCCGGAGAGACTAGTCGGACCTGGCCAGGGGCGCGCAGGAACCCGGGACCGCAGGAACGCATCCCACCCACCCGCTTCCCGGATCCGGGGCCCCAATGTCGAATGCAAAGGGGCCTATATTTTAGGAGGAAGAGAGGATCTATAGCTTCATTCTTAAAGAGATCCAGACCCGACAACAGGTTTAAGGCACTGTTGGTCGCTGTTGCCGGAAGGGAAAGCAGCTGGCTTGTGACTTTTGAGCGAGCGCCTTGGACTGGGACGCGGCGGAGGGAGGCCAGAGGTGGTGTCGGAGTGGGGGCAGGGGGCGTGTGTGTGTGGGGGCGTTTGGTTGCTCCTTGGTTTTACAGTCAGGGAGGACGACTTTTTAGAAAGGCAAGGGGGTTTTCTGCTCCCCGACATCATTCTTCGCGAGGGCTTCTAACTGTGGAGGGGACCATCGACCACTTCCGCATTCCTCTTTTTACCTCCCTTTGCCCATTCTCCCCCCTTCAACCACAAAACTGTAAACAATGCTCCAGTCTTCCCGCACTCTCTCCGCCTCCATCAAACCTGATACTTCCCCCCAAATTCGCCCCACCAGTCTCGGAAATCCTTACACAGGACGGATATTCACAATTTTCACAAGTAATCCTGAAAGAAGGCCGAGGGGAAGCCTCCTAAACGGTCCCACATTGCAGCAGCCGCGCTGATTAGGCCCGGGATCCGTTCCCTTTCTTCTCTGCCCTCCCCTGCCCAGGAGCGGCGGGGAGGGCGGCGGGAACTCGAGGCTGCAGGAGGGGGTGTGTCTACGCCCGGCAGAGTACCCAGGGCCGGTTGGCCCGCGGCGGAGCGCGCGCTGGGGTTGTGGGGGAACAGGAATGGGAGGAAAGAAGGTGCGGGCGCGCCCCGGCTGCCTGCCTTAGAAATTGGAACTCAGTGCCAGCGCTCCGCTGGAGTTCCGAGCAATCCTGCCAGGAGGTGGAGCGGAATGGGCCCGGCACCCCTCACTCTTTGGCTTCCCTCCCCGGCTTCCCAGCGCTTGTCACATCCTGTCTCTGGTCTGATACTTCACGCGAGCGAATGGAAAGGGGATTACAATGAAGATTTATGTGTGTTCCGAGTGCGGCTAGTTTCCCAGTGTAGGGAGACGAGATCGCTGCTTCCCATTTTCATTTTTCATTCGCGCTTTGGGGAGTGCAGGCAGGCGCGGGGGGAGCGAGTCTGCGCTGTGGCGGGCTGATCACAGGGCTCTGCGTCTCCCGGCGGGCCGCAAGACTGTGAGAAAGGCTTGCCAGCGCCTCGCCCCCGGCGGGGCTGGAGCCAGCCCCCGCCTCCCCAAGCCCGGCTTTGTTTCTCCCCTTGCTCACCCCTCCCCCTTTCCGCCTCCTCACTTCTGGGACCCCAGCGCATCCTCGCTTTTCCTTCTCCTTGCCCTTCTCATCTGCGGAAACGCCCCCTTCCTCTGGCCCCTGCACCCTCCTGCCCTCTGCTTCCCCGACATCCCGGGAAAAGACGCGCCTTGGCCCGGCCCGACCCCGCCGCCGCAGGGGTGCCAGGTTCGGTGACTCCGGCGAGTCTGTGGGGCCTCGGCCCACCCCGGAGCTGGAGCCTCCCGCCCTCCCGGCTCCCAGGCTCGCTCATGCCAAGGCCTGTTGCGTGATTCCAACTTGGGCTGACATTCCCTGCCCCGGGCGCTCCGGCGTAGGCCTCTTAATCATCTTGTCTGCTGCAGATCCTCGACACCAGCCAATTTACTGCCCCGTCTCTCCTTGCTGGTTTCAGGAGGGGGAGGGGAGTGCGCGCAAAGGAGAGGAGGGCACAGTCAGCCGCAGGAGGAAGGCTGGCACCAGCTATTGGCACTCATAGAAAACCATGGAATTTGGGGCTGGCAGGAGGGAGGACAGGAATGGGGGGGGGTCTGCTAGGCAGCAGCTGCTTAGGGAAATCAGAATCTCGGTGTCAGTGAGCTTCAGCCCAGGCCCCCTAGCCTGGGAAAACTCTGCAGAAATGCAAATGGACACTAGGTTGTGTAGTTCTCCCTGCCTTCCCCAGAGCCCCAAATCCCTGGATCATACTCTGTTGTAAAGCAGGCTCGGTGCAGGACCCAAAACAATCTGACCAAAAAGTCAGGGTTCCTCTCAGGATGATGCCACTGAGCCTAGGAAAACCAGACATGGTTTTTGGCAGAGGTGCGTTGAAGACACACAACAAAGATGGCCAGAATTACCATCCTCGAGGAGAGGAGGCCTAGATATGGCAAGCAGGGCTTTCTGGTTTGCCCCCTGCCCCCATTCCAGGGGAGCTTGTTCCCTTCAGAGGGGATGCCTGAAGTTCATGCTTCTATGTTGGAAAGGGCTGGAGGTCTCCCAGTCCTAGAGTGCTGCTCTTCCACACAAAATGAGGTTGGAAAGGCCTCTGGGTAACTCTGGGCCTCATAATTTCAGGCATAAGTAAAGTCTCCTTGTTTGGGAGCATTGGGATTAAACAATGTACTACGAATAGCAAAAATGCATTGAGTGCTTACTATGTGTCAGGCACTGTGGAACATCATTGCCACATTAAATGCTCACAACTCTGAGATGGCTGTTATTATTATAAAACCCTATCTTATATATCTGCAAACTGCAGCACAGAGAGGTTAAGCGAGTACCCCAAAGTTACACGGTTAGTAACTGAAGCCAGGAAGCTTCCAACTGTAGGCCCCAGGGCTTTCAAGAAAAGGGACTTTGCAGGGGATGCTAGAAAGTACGATCACTTCCAAAGCTGGAAGCTAGTTGGGTCGGACCCAAGGTGGAAAGCAGAGCTGAATGATGTGTGGACCTTTCCCCTTGGAGACTGTGATGGAAGGATGCCACTCCCATGGCAACGTGCATCAGTCTCCGTGTCAGTGTGCATGAGTGTGCATATGTGAGTTTGTATGTCAATATGTGTGAGTGTGCATTAACTTGTGTCGTGTTCATGTGTGTGAGTGTAAGAGTGTGATTCAGTATGTGTGTGTGACTGAGTGTGTGTAATAGTATAGATGTGAGTGCGAGATTCACAGTGTGTGATCGCATGTGTGCTGGTGCAGCCCTGTGCGCCTGTGTCGCCCTGCATTCCAGAGCAGCCAACCGAGTCTCCCGAGGGCCCGGGTGACTCGCTGAGTCCTCGGCTCAGCCAGCCCTAGAAGGGCTGCAGGGCAAACAGAAGGGAGGGTCCAATGTAGGGGTCTGACCCCGGCTTCAGCAGCTCTTAGGCTCCAACTGCAGGTTCCCGGCGGCGTCGCGGAGGAACTGCCTGGCCAACACCGGGGGCGCGGGGGCGACAGAGACCGCCCAGGCGCTGGGCGATGGCGCCAGCGCCGGAGGGGCCCGCCCGGCGGAGGCTGGAGCCGCCGGGCGCTGACTGACTCACTGCGCCGCGAGCTGGCGAACCCCGCGCCGGACGCGGGTGGGGGCAGAGCTTCAACATTCCTCCGGGGTCCCTGAACCGAGTGTGCCCGTCCTCTTCTAGCCGCACTGGCAGCCTCCGAAAGATGTAAATGTCACTCTTGGCTGACCAGGTTCCCCCGCCTGGGCAGCGGCTGGAGCTTCCGGGTCGTGACACCATGGAAAAAGCGCACACATCCAATGAAAACAATAATTTATTTAAATAATCTCTTCATATTGTAAAATCAACATTAAGAGCTTGTTGTTTTCATAATAAATAACCCCAAAATACCTTTCATTTCAAGAACAAAGACTTTAGGATAAGATAAAACAAATCCAGATCAGTAGCTTAGTTTAACTGAGAAAAAATTTTAAGGGAAAATAAACCGGACGGTGAGATAACTGCTAAACCGCAGTTTTCACAAGTGGGGGTTTACAAAAAAGTCTGAAAAGATGAGTATTTTTATACAAATAAATTGGTGGGAAAATCTGCACAGACACCTTTATTTACAAACTCTATGTCGAAGTCCAGGCTAATAATCCTGAATAGATTTTAAAAAAGATAATTTAAACACTTTTTTTTTTGCAGTGTCCACATATTAAAAAATCACTTTTTTCAACATCAAAATGAGGTCATCCGCAAAGGCACCTAAACTTTTAAAAAAATAAAAATAAAAAAACTCCACTGGTGATGGATGAGGAGAGAGCTTAGGGAGCGTTCCTGGGGGACAGCTAAGGCGGGGGAGAGATGGGGCTTCCAGGGCTGGAACCCGCAGAGCAGAAAAAAAGCGGCGGACCGCCGAGGTCAAAGGGGTGTTGGGGGCGGGCGGGTAGGCAGGACCCCGGAGGTCAATAACCCTGGCCGGCTGCGCTGAGCCTGGGGGCGGGCAAGGAGAAAGGAGCCTCAGATTGCTGGGGAAGCCTCACGGGCGGGGGAGGCGTCCCTCTCCGGGATTCAGCAAGCGGCCCGCGGCGAGGAAGGCGCCGGCCGGCCTCGCGGGGCGGAGAGGGGAGGGGAGTCAAGTCTTGAGGCGGGGCTCAGGTCGGAAAGGCGGCCCTGGCCCCGCGGCCTTCACCACGCCGCTGCCGGGGTCCTCCAACAGAGGAGCCTTCTAGATCCCCGCCGCTCGGTTGCCCCACGAAGGAGCAGGGCCTGCGGCAGGCCCTGCGGGGCTGCAACCTCCGGGAGGGGTGCGTGCCGTCGGCGGGCCTGCCGGAGGGACCCTTCGGCGAGCACTGAGGATAACGGGTCTCCGCTCTCAGTCTCTGGCACAGTCTCCCCGGGGTTAGAAAATCGTCCCCGCGCTCACCGGGGCGCCCCCGCCGCCATGGTGGTGGTGGTGATGGTGGTGCGGCTGCGGGGTCTGCGCGGGGTGCAGCAGCGGCGCCGCCGCCTGCAGGTGTGAGGCGGAGCCCGAGGCCTGGTGGTACCACGGGTAGTTGCCCAGGAAGGCTGAGGCCGCGCTGCTCGGGCTGGAGCCCGAGCTGCCCGCGCCGCTACCGCCGCTGCCGGGGCCGCCGCCGCCCCCCATCCGCTGCGGCGCGAAGTCCCAGGAGGCTGGCGCGGAGACGGGCGGCGAAGCACAGGGTGGCGAGGCGCTGGCCCCAGGGTGCTGCTCCGAGGGGATCTCACCGCTTTTCCACATCTTCTTGAACTTGGATCGGCGGTTCTGGAACCAGATTTTGACCTTGGAGGAAAAAGGACCCGCGCGTTAGTGAAGGAAACTCGGCACCGGGCATGGGAGGGAAGGAAGCGTAGCAAGATCACCAGCAAGAGGTGAGCACCGGGCACCCTGGGCAGGTGGGCGGGTCACGTGCCGAGGCCTCGTAGGCTGCCGCGGCTCCCACTCCATTGCGTGGTCATCTCAAAAAAGTCCAAGACAGCCGGTGTGCGTGCACAGTGGTGGTGGTGACAGCGGCAGGGGGTCAGAGGGCCAATTATTTTACCCGCTTCATCAGTAGCGCGCGGAAAGACAACATGGTACCGGATTTCTGCCCACCCTGTCCTCCCTCTGGGAGATTTCGGCTTCGAGTGTCGAAGTTTAGGCCGCTCAAGGCGCGGGCTTCGAAATCTTTAAAATTATTTAAAAAATATTTTTGAAAAACACTGTCCTGAATCCGCCTGCTTCCCGGCCGTCCTAGACCAGCGCCCTCTTCGTCCCTCCCAGGCCGCGAGCCCTCACCTGAGTCTGGGTGAGGCCCAGAGACGCCGCCAGCTCGGCTCGCTCGGGCAGTGCCAGGTACTGAGTCTTTTGGAAACGTCGCTGAAGAGCCGCCAGTTGGAAACTGGAGTAGATGGTGCGGGGTTTCCGGACTTTCTTTGGCTTACCGTTCACTATCCGGATTTCAGGCTCGAGGTCCTCTTTCTCTGTAACGAAACGGAATTGTAAGAACCGCGCAACCAAGGGAGCCCAAGAGTTCTCTCCCGCAGAGAGGCCGGGCTTGGGACGAGTCCGGAGCCGGGAGGCGGGCTCTTAGGTGCAACATCGCAACGCGCGGACGGGTGCCGCCATCGAACCCGGGAGTTTGGCCTTCCAGCAAAGGGGGAGACGGGCACACACCGAAGAGAAAGCAAAAGCAGGTGGCAAGGAAATGAGGTTGCCATGAGGCCTGTACAGCGCGGCCCCTGAGGTCACCGGGTCCGACCAGCTGAAGACCGTGGGACGTACTCGGTGACCCTCGGCCGACTGGAGGTTGAGAAGGGTAAAGGGAGCTGGGCGGGCCGGGAGCAGGTAGCGTGAAAGGCCACGGCTCCGGAGGGGTTCCCGCGCCAAACATTTCAATCTCACCCGTCCTAGTAGTTAGACCGACTTGGTACCCTGGACGCCAGCGTTATACATACCAGGTTCGTTGTTGGCGGGGGACGAACTGGTCCCGTAGGGCGCGTAGGAGGTGTAGGCGGCGGTGTAGCCCAGGTCGTATCCGCTCTTGGCGGAATAAGGGACGTTGTTGAGGCCGCTGGCGTGGTACTGGTAGGAACCCATGTGCGCGTAGGGCGAGCCCCCGCCGCCGCCGCCGCCCGCCGGGTGCTGCTGATTGGTGTAGTAGCTGCTGTCGGTAGCTGTGGACACCGGGAGGGTGGGTGGGCGACTCCTGGGGCTTGTGGAGGTTGCTGCTGTTGCTGCCGCCGGGGCCAGCGCCGCCGCCGCTTGGGGGCTGCTGGTGCTGGTGGTATGTGCTGGAGGCCGTGATCTGGGTCGAATGCATATCAGCCACCAGACTGTCAAAGACTCCAGTCATCCTGGCCCGGGACGGGAAAGAGCAGGGGTAGCGGGCGCAAGGGGGAAAGCGAGGCGCCTCCTCCGTCTCTCCGGGTCCCTTCTAGCAGCCAATGTAATTACGAGTGGGGTGGGGTGGGGAGGAAAACAAGAAATGTGGCAACGGTCTAGGCAACTCCTCCTCCGGGGGAGGCGATCACCGTGCACTGCTCGGGACAGCTGCCGCCGGCCGCATCCTTTCTCCGCCTCTCGGCCTGCTCGGCTCCTTGCCCAGTGCCAGCTCGGGCGGGGGGCGGGCAGTGGAGGGGGCAGGGGTGGCGGGGCCGGACCGGGGATCCGGGAGGCGGGAGCAGGTGAGCAGCCCGCAGCTGCTTTACGGTGGTCTGTGGGGCGGGCTCCAGCAGGCTAGGCATTTAACACTCGTCACGTGAGCGCAGGCGACGTCACCTAGCAACAGCCAATCATAAGCCCAAGCCCGCGAGGCTACTGGCGCACAAGAACGTAGAGCAGGGGGCGGGGGGTGTCACCGGGCTGGCGTTTGTGGCTGCTGTGGTCGCGGGTGCAGACAGGCTGCTGCTGGACGTGAGCAGCCAGGCGAGGGGCTGGGGGTGGGGTGGGGAGTTAGGGTGGCTGGCGGCAGGAGGACTGAAGGCGTGAAGACGGAGACTGGCGTTTCCCATTCTGTGTACAAGTGTACAACCAATTCAAGTGATTCGTACCTTCATGTCTGAGGCCAGCTTTCAAACATTAATCAAAATAAAGCGGTGGGGAGAGCTGGGCCAGCTCTAGCTCCGCTTTTCCTCGAAGTTCCTGGCACTTAACTCTTGTCAACCACTGGGCATTTAACATAAATCAATTGATTTAGATTATCCATAAACCACGTACTGTATAATACCTGCTTCCTAACCAACCCGCAGGGATATTAGGACAATTAATTAGATAATATTTAAACGATTTGTCCTTGTTGCTTGAGAGAAAAGCTATTTAAATTCAAAGGTATTGCTAATGACATACTATTTGACATCATTTTCCCTTGTACTTTCCTGACACGCGGAAACTGAGTACTTTACGTATGTTAGATAGCTAACTGACATCCCAAAAGCCATCATGGGGAGTTCCTTTCTAGGTTGGAAAGCTAGACCAGACTGACCAGATGGCCTTCAAAATTCATTCTAGCTCTAAATTCTATGTTTTTGCGAGAAGGAAATAGAATAATACTTAGGTGAGAGTCATCTCGATCTTGGCCAAGTTACAGAAACAGATAGAAAAAGTTTTATCTTGTGCATTTAACCGCTTCATAGCTTGTTTTTTTTTTCCACTTTAGGACCCTCTTCCACCCTATTATTGCAATTTCTTCTTTGAATAGGAAGTGGCGACCTAATTTATATCTCTGTTTCCTGGTGGTTGGTAACCGTGGTCCAGAGTTAAGGGAAACTCGCATGTACTGGACTCCAAATCCGCAGTTGCTGCGGCAGTGCCTGCCTTGTGGCGCCACCTGCTGGGGGTGTGCGTGGTTGCCGCGGGCCTTGTAGACGGTCTAATCATGTTTAGGCGCCAGCCTCTGAAACCCCCCAAAAGAACAAAATAGTAATTAAAAGCCACAAAATTGTGCTAGTGCGCGCCATCTGAAGCACCCCCTTCCTAAAGACATAGCAAGTCGCTGAAAGAACTTGTTACAACAACTGCCTAATGGAAAACCAGTTGATACTTTGAAAAAATATGATCTTTGGTCTTCCCCAGAAAAACCAAGTGTGTAATTAAAACTACAGCATCCACACAGTTCAGCCTCTCGGAATAATGAGGAAGGTAATCCGCCTTCAAATCTGCCTGGATTTAGTTCCCAGCCTTTCTTCTGGTTAAGGAAGGCCCCTAATGGATAAGGGTGAGCTGATTAGCAATGCTCACCACGGGACCACGGTGCCTCATGGTTGAACTCAGCCTGCTGCTTTGTGGGAACCAGTTACAAAATTAAGCTCTTGATATTTAATCAAGATTGCCTTTTGGTGTCTTGACTCCAAATTCCAAGTCTTTCTGTCACCACAATGGTAGGTAGCTGTTTTGACCTTATACAGAAACTTTCTCTCCCCTGAAAATAAAATATGAAAGATCCAATTGCCATCCTCCCGACTTCTCTCTGCTCCTTTGTTCCCACCCCAAGCATGTCCTCCAGACTTTTTCATGGTGGTAAATGTGTTGTATTTTATTATCTATGAGAACCTCCGCTAGTAGCCTAAAGTGTAGGTCA